TCAGTCGGTTGCTCACTAGGTCCAACCCTGCGCCTGGATTCCACGCACCTGAGTTCGTCTGACCGAGTCATCCTGTGCAACCCCGCTTCACCAGCCACTGGTTTCCTCCCTTACTCTTCAGGCTGAAGAATTTGTTGTTAACGGACTTCCATAAAGTTCAATTTTCCGTGTTCTGGCTGTGTTTTCTGTTGCTAATATTTAGTTGTGTCTAAACTTGGTTGTGTGAGAAGGCACGACACATCCACCTATGCCTCCATCTTGGCGGAAGTCCAACAATTTGTAATTCTTAATCCTTCACCTTTTTGACCTGTTTCCCTGACACCCTCCCATCTGGCAACCATCAAAATCTTGTCTATCTGTGATCCTGTTTCTGTTCTTCTGGCTTGTTTATTTTGTTTTTAGGTTCAATTGTTGATAGATACGTATTGACATTTTATTATTCATAGTTATGATCTTCTTAAAGAAGACCTTTTACAATCGCATATAATACTGGTGTCGTAATGATGAACTCCTTTATCTTTTTCTTCTCTAGAAGCTCTTTATCATTTTATAGCTTTGCTGGGTAACTTTTTTTTACTTTTTTTTATTGTTAAGTACAATTGTCTCTGTTTTCCCCCCATCACTCCCCTCCACCCCAACCATCCCCACCTCCCACACCTGATCCTACCTCCCTTGGTTTTGTCCATGTGTCCCCCTTGGTTTTATAGATGTTCCTGAAAACCTTCCCCCCTTTCGTCCCATTATCCCTTCCCACCTCTAGTTACTGTCAGTTTGTTCTTAATTTCAGTGTCTCTAGTTATATTTTGCGTGTTTGTTACGTTGATTAGGTTCCACTTATAGGTGAGTTCAGATGGTATTTGTCTTTTACTGCCTGGCTTATTTTACTTAGCATAATGCTGTCCACTTTCATCCATGCTGTTGTAAAGGGTAGTAGCTCCTTTTTTTCTGTTGCATAGTATTCCATTGTGTGAATGTATCATAGTTTTTTGATCCATTCATTTATTGATGGGCACTTAGGTGGCTTCCAAAATTTTCGCTGTTGTAAATTGTGTTGCTATGAACATGGGAGTGCATATGGTCTTTTGGATTTGTTTTTCAGGGTTTTTAGGCTATGGTCAACTAATATTTGACAAAGGGAGCAGAAGCATAAAATGGAGTAGAAATAGCCTCTTTAACAAATGGTGTTGGGAAATCTGGACAGCTACATGCAAAAAAATGAAACTTGAGCACCAACTTACACCATACACAAAAATAAATTCAAGGTGGTAAAAGACTTAAATACAAGTCACAATGCCATAAAAGTCGTAGAGGAGAACATAGGTGGAAAAATCTCAGCTATTCCATACAGCAATATTTTCACTGATATGTGCCCTAGAGCAAGGGACATAAAGGAAAGAAGAAACAAATGGTATCTCATCAAAATAAAAAGCTTCTGCATGGCTAAAGAAAATAGCATTAAAATGGAAAGAGGACCAACTGTATGGGAAAACATATTTGCCAGTGACACCTCAGACAAGGGTTTGATCTCCAAAATATATAAAGAACTTACATGACTCCACTCTAAAAAGACAAGCAACCCAATTAAAAAATGGGCAAAGGACTTGAACAGACACTTTTCCAAGGAGGACATACAGAAGATCCTGAGACATATGAAAAGGAGCTCAGCATCACTAGCCATTAGAGAGATGCAAATTAAAACCACAAGGAGATATCACTTCACATGGGTCACAATGGCCATCATAAAAAAATCTACAAACAACAAGTGTTGGAGAGGATGTGGAGAAAAGGGAACCCTGATGCACTGTTGGTGGGGATACAGACTGGTATAGCCAGTGTGGAAAACAGTATGGAATTTTCTCAGAAAAGTAAAAATGCATCTGCCTTTTGACCTGGCAGTTCCACTACTGGGTAAAGTAATCTTTGTTGTAGGTCCTTGCTTTTTACCCCTTTGATGATTTCTTGCCAATTTCTTCTAGTCTGCAAAGTTTCTTTTGAGAAATCATCTGACAGTATTATGGGGACTTCCTTGTACATAACTAACTGCTTTTCTCTTATTGCTTTTAAGATTCTCCTTTCCTTTTTGGCATTTTAATTATGAAGTGTCTTGCAGTGGGTTCCTTTTGGTACTCTTTGTGCTTCTTGGGTTCCTTTTGGTACTATTTGTGCTTCTTGGACTTGTATGTCTATTTCCTTGTCCCCAGTTAGGGAGATTTTCTTTCATTATTTTTTCAAACAGATTTCCAATTTGTTGCTCTTTGTCTTCTTCTGGCACCCTTAAAATGTTAGTATGCATGAAGTTGTCCCAGAGGCTCTTAGACTATCCTAATTTTTTTGTGTTGGGGGGATTCTTTTTTCTTGTTGTTCTGATTGGTTGTTTTTTGCTTCCATATATTTTAAATTGCTGATTTGATTCTCGGCTTCATCCACTCTAATGTTGATTCTCTGCAAATTGTTCTTTATTTCAGTTAGTGTATCCTTTGTTTCCGACTGGAAACAAAGGCAGAAAAATCCTTTTTTACACTGTTGACATCCTCACAGAGTTCCTTGAGCATCCTTATAACCAGTGTTTTTAACTCTATATCTGATAGATTGCTTTTCTCCATTTTGTTCATTTCTTTTCTGGAGTTTTGCTCTGTTCTTACATTTGGACCATGTTTCTTTGTCTCCTCATTTTGGCAGCTTCCTTGTGTTTCTTTTTATTTATTAGGTAGAGCTATTACATTTCCCAGGCTTGATAGAGTGACTTACTGTAGTAGGTATCCTGTAGGGTCCAGTGGCACAGCCTCCTCTATTACTCAAGTTGGGTATTCATGATGCACCCAACTGTGTGGGCTGTATACACCATCTGGTTGTAGTTGAGCCTTAATTGCTGTTGGTACATCCACGGTCAGGAGCTGCCTGTGTTCTGTCCACTCAGAACAATGCTACAAAATGATCTCCAGATGGTTGCTACTTATGCAGGGCTTAGAGGTGCAAGGCAGGCTGCTGCTAGTGCCGGGCCTGGGGCACAACTTAGTGAGAGGTACTGGCTTGCTGAAGCCAGATTTTGCTTGTTTGAGAGAATTTAGAAAAATCTGAAATATGGGTCAAGAAAAGACATTCATATGAAAAAGCTTCTGGAAATATCTTAGGTGAGCCTGAAAGTTGGATGGGGCAGGGCTTCAGGGAATCACCAGGTTGGGGCAAACAGTGTGAGCCAAGTTGATGGTGTCTCAGATATATTGCCCCCCTGCCAGCTCTGTGGTGGGGAGGGGACTCAGAAAAGGAATCATGGTGTCTGACATCACTTTTCTCTGGGAGAAAGCTATCCCCTAGCTCTTGCCTTGATGCCAGATAGTTCAGTTCCTCCCTGCATCTCTGATGTCTTTCAATCTGCTGCCCCTACACTGGTGCTCAGAGGGAGTAAGTCCAAGTAAATCTGTGCAATGGCTCTTCAAGAGGAACTGCCAGGGAGTCCATCAGTTTCTGTCTTCCCCAACCTCAATCCCTGCTGGTTTTTATAGCTAGAAGTTATAAAGTCTTATCTTCCTGGTACTGCAACCCTGGCTTGGGGGACCTGGTATGGGCCAGGGACGCTTTGCTTCTAAGATACCTCTCCTGATTTCTATGTGCCACATTTGGCTGTTGGACCAGTCCATTCTGTGTCTCCGTCTGTCCTACCAGACTTAATGTGGTTTCTTCTATAATTCCATAGTTGTAGGACTCATTCAGCTCAGTTTCTGACAGTTCTGAATGATGGTTTTTATTTAGTATACTTGTAATTTTGATGTGGTTGTGCAAGGAGATGAGCTGTGTTTACCTACGCCACCATCGTAATAATTGGAAATTTCATGATTTAAAAGTTCCTAATTAATAAGTTGTAGTAATGGTATTGAGATTATATTTTTAAAAAAGAATCTCATTTTGTAGAAGTAGATAATATTTATAGATGAAATTATGTTTAGGATTTGCTTAAAAATCTAGAAGTTGGAAAGGGAACAAAGTGGGCCTGATGCTGATAACTGATGCTAGTTGATAGGACTTTGAGTTCCCTAATTTTTTTTTTTTTTTTTTTACTTTTGAGTATATTCATGATTTTCTATAATATATTTAAAGATGTCAAAGGTGTTAGTGGTGGTAGGGAATTTTCTAAAATAGTATTCCTCAAACTAAGTTAAAATACGTGATTGAGTCATGGTAGGATTCTGGAGGAATTATAGGACATCCTGAAATTACCTAGGAAAAGTAGATGCCTGAAACTTACTGCTCAAGTTAGCTTTACTAATACCAATCCTAGTGCTAAGGAGAATAAACTCCAGTCCTGACTTCTCATAGAAGATGAAAAAGTGTCCTGGTTTCCTTTGGTAGCAGTTGGAACTCTGGCAAGGTCTGTAACCTCTCCAGGGACATTCTTCTTCTGCAGTTGTAGAAGTGGTTATCAAAAAGTAGTCTTATGCCTCCCACCTTCCAACTAAAAACCTCTCCTGATTTTTATAACATGAATCTGCATCTGCTCTTTCTTGATTTAGTTATAAGGATTTGGGGGAAAGAGTGAGAATATCAAAGGAGATTGGGAAAATCTTTGTAAAACTGAAGTTTTGCAAACTTACCTATGTTCTATTCTCAGAAATTGATATTCATGGGAGGGACCTATAAGAGGTAGGTTGGAATTGATCTCTTTTCTTTGTAAATAGATTGTTTTACTGCTTAATACTTCAGTATTTGCAGAGGGGAAAGAATGAAGTGATGCCTACCTTCAGCATCTCCCTGGGTTTCCTTGCTGTTAGCGTACACATACATTTGCATATTTTGCTATTCTTCTTCCTCCCCATCAAAACAGTACAATTGGAACCACTAGAATACAATAGTAGGAGTACTAGGACTAAGTATGCAGGGAAGGAAGAAGCCAACAGAAAGCTTAATACTTTTACTGTGTGGGTATTTATATTGTATAATCTTTATTTACTTTGTGGTCACTACATATTAAATAATTTAGATAAAACGTTATTTTTTCCTTTCAGGTACGATGTCTAAAAGACTTTGGAGAATTTGAAGTTGATGATGGTACATCAGTGCTATTAAAAAAAAATAGCCAGGTATTTATTTTATAAATAATCTTTATTGTATTAAGATTTTTGAAATCTTCTAAGAGTGTTGCATAGTGGAAACGTTGAAATTAGTAGCAAAGTAAACATCACCTTGTGATGCTCATTTATATCTAGGCATTATGTTTAGTGTAAGACTACTTTTTCTAAATATATAAAGAAATGCTGAGGCAAATGTTACATATATGTACAATTAAGAAAAGATTAATTAATTTAATAGAATGTTGCTTGTATTTAACACTAAGCATTTTCCAGGGAAATTATCACTGGGCCTTATTGTAGTTAAGGCACTATGAAAATGTTGGATTTTGTCTACGGCCATACCACCCTGAACGCGCCCGATCTCGTCTGAAAATGTTGGATTTAGCCCTTATTTTTGAATTGTAATTAAAAAGGTGATAAGCTTGTTTAGTTTATATTTCACCTTATAAATCCTAGTTCTTTTTTTTTCTCTGGAGAGATAGAAATTTCTCTATCTTGTTTTAAAGATTTTATTTATTTATTTTTAGAGAGAGGAAGGGAAGAAGAGAAATATCAAATGTGTGGTTGCCTCTCTCACATGCCCTACTAGGGGCCTGACCTGCAACCTAGGCATGTGCCCTGACTGGGAATCAAACTGGCGACCCTATGGTTTGCACTTTTATGCTCAATCTGCTGTGCCACATGAGCCAGGGCTAAATCCTAATGCTTTAGCAAATAAATAATGATATAGATCAAAAATTTCTGAGTAATATATTAACAGAATTTACTAGGGAAAGACTAAAACTATGAAGTTTTACTTAAACAAAATTTTTTCTTACTAAGTATCTCAATATAGTCTTTCCTTCGAAACTTTCAAATTCACATTAATTTCACATTAGTTAAAATTAATGTTCATCCTATTTCAATTTTATATAGTCACATTAATATAGGAGGAAAAATGACCTAATGAGAACCACTTTCTTTTGCCTCCCATCTTGCTGGTTAGTGTCTAATGATCCTTTGTCTTTGTTTATGGAATGGAACAAAAGAATGCTTCAGGTTATGTGGTTCTTAGACTTATTTTCTTTTTTTTTCTTTCCTTTTTTTAAAAAATTAATTTTATTTAGTTATTTTTCAAGTACAGTTTTTTGTCTATTTCTCCCATCCCAGCCTCCCCCGCCCCTTGCTCCCCACCTCCCTCCCATTTTGACCCCCCTTAGTTCTCATCCTTGTGTCCTTCCTATTTGTTCTTCCAAATCCCTCCCCCCTTTTCCCCTTAACTTCCCTTCCTTCTCCCCTCTGGTCACTGTCCCCTTGTTCTCTATTTCAGTGTCTTTTTTTTTTTTTTCTTCTTCTCCTTGCTTGTTTGTTTTGTTGTTTAGCTTCCTGTTAAAGGTGAGATCATATGGTATTTGTCTTTCAGCACCTATTTCACTCAGCATAATGCTTTCCACTTCCATCCATGTTGTTGCAAAAGGTAGTAGCTCCTTCTTTCTCTCTGCAGCATAGAATTCCATTGTGTATATGTACCACAATTTTTGATCCATTCATTTACTGATGGGCACCTAGGTTGCTTCCAACTCTTGGCTATTGTAAATTGTGCTGCTGTGAACATTGTGGTGCATAGGTTCTTTGATATTGATGTTTTAGGATTCTTAGGATATAATCCCAGCAGTGGAATTGCTGGGTCAAAAGGCAGGTCGATTTTTATTTTTCTGAGAAAATTCCATACTGTTTTCCAGAATGGTTGTACCAGTCTGCAATCCCACCAACAGTGAACTAAGGACCCCTTTTCCCCAAGACCTCTCCAACATTTGTTGTTTATTGCTTTGTTTATGATAGCCATCCTGACAGGTGTAAAGTGGTATCTCATTGTGGTTTTAATTTGCCTCTCTCTGATAGCTAATGATATTGAGCATCTCTTCATGTGTCTCTGAATGTTCTATATGTCCTCCTTGGAGAAGTGTTTGTTCAAGTCCTTTTCCCATTTTTTAATTGGGTTGGGTGTCTTCTTAGAGTGGAGTCGTGTAAGTTCTTTGTATATTTTGGAGATTAAACCTTTGTCTGAGGTATCATTGGCAAATATGTTTTCCCATACAGTTGGTTGTCTTGCTAATTTAATCCTGTTTTCTTTAGCCACGCAGAAGCTTTTAATTTTGATGAAATCCCACTTGTTTATTCTTTCCTTTATATTCCTTGCCCTAGGGGACATATCATTAAAAAAGTTGCTGTGTGAAATATGTGAGATTTTCTTGACAATGTTCTCCTCTAGGACTTTAATGGTGTCACGGCTTACATTTAACTCTTTTCTCCACCTTGAATTTATTTTGGTGTATGGTGTAAGTCTGTGCTCAAGTTTCATTTTTTTGCACGTAGCTGTCCAGTTCTCCCAACACCATTTGTTGAAGAGACTATCTTTACTCCATTTTATGTTACTGCCCCCTTTGTCAAATATTAATTGACTGTAGAGAATTGGGTTGATTTCTGGGCTCTCTGTTCTGTTCCATTTAGACTTATTTTCTTAAGAGAGAAAATTTTCTTGATCTCTTAGTCTATGCGTACCATTAGAGCTTTGATAGTTTTGTAAAACAAGGTTAAATATTTTAAAGATAGATTTTCAAGACACCCTAAAATCTTTTTTTTGTTAAGGCAGAATTTCCCTCCCAGTATCCTCTTAGAGAAGTCAGATACTAATGAATTGAACAATACTAATGAATTAATATTAATACTGAAATTAACGGTCTCCTAAAAATCTGTATTTCTGGAGGACCCAGTGTGAAGCTTTGGTTCACAAGAATAAAGCTATCCTTATAAAGCAAGATATGAGAAAATGTCACTTTTTCCTAAACGCCATCCTGTGGTTGAAATTTTTTTCTCAAACTTTATGGCTGATCTTCCCACCCAGTGTGCCCAGATGGTGGTTATTCCTTAGTGGCAGGGAATACCTGGGTAGAGCTTGGGTAAGTGGGAACCCAGCTGAGCCCTTCTTCCATCTTCTCTTGTGTTAGACAGTTGTTTTCTGTGTGGACCATGCAGAAGCCTTTCTCTTGGTAATACTGTTTCTGGCAAAATAATTATTTTACTGTATGTTTTACTAAATTTATTGGGGTGACACTGGTTCCCCTGTCACCCCAATAGCTGCCTTTTGTTACTATCATCCTACCCTTCATTATAAAAATGGGAAAATTTAAAAAACACATAGTCTTTTGTAGTTGATATTAAAGTGTTTCTAAAAGTATCTCACCACATCTAAAATCAGTTTTCCATGGAATCTGTCCATATACTATAAAACATTAGGGAGATATTTTTTTACCATACATTCACTTATGCCTATCAATATGGCAAACATGTTTGTGTTTGTTTAGAAATCAGGAAACCCCTCTTTTTAGAAAAAGTTGGAATAATTGTTAAATAATTCCAACATGTCCCCACCTTTTTGGTGGTATTGGTGGTATGTTGTGGTGGGCCCCCTTTTTATATTATACCTCCTAAAGTCTTTTTTTTTTAAATATTTTATTTATTTATCTTTAGAGGGGAAGGGAAGGAGAGAGGGAGAGAAACATCAATGTATGGTTGCCTTTCATGCATCCCTGCTGGGAACTGGCCTTCAGGGAACCAGCCTGCAACCCCGGTATATGCCCTGACTGGGAATCGAACCGCGATTGTCTGGTTCGCAGGCCCGCGCTCAATCCACTGAGCTATACCAGCCAGGGCTTTATACCTCCTAAAGTCTTTTTAACATGTTAAATAATAGTCCTTGGCCCATGTGTTTTCCTGACTAATTTGGAGGAATGTATTTGGCCACAGGAATTATATAAGGCCTTTGAGTTTATTAGGAGGGACTTGTAGGTATACAGTGCTACTAAAGTTATGTTTTGCTTCTTCAAATATTTTTAGTAATCTCTTCTATTGCAATTATTTTCTAAGGCTGTTTGCTCTGCACTATATAATGTACTGTTTTTTTGTTGTTGTTTTTACCCCAGTATATCTTTCTTTTCTTTGAGATTACTTTAGTCATTCATGAGCTTGGAAGGTCTTCCTCCCTTGCTTCCTGTACTTCCTCATTCCAAAGTTTAGGAAATGTTCACTTCCGGTTTAAGCCACTGTGTGTAGAGATGCAAGGAAACTCCTTTCCACTTCACAATGAGGGAGTATCCTCTTAGGACATGGAGGACGAGTGATTTCGTTAGCGAGGTGTAGGTGTCTTAACAACATAGTGTGAATAGTACCTACCTCATAGGTTACAAATACTTTTGATCCTTGAAAAGTACAAGGGAAAAGTTGTCACCATAATTAGAATAAATAGTTTAATGAAGCGTTCCTTTGTTGGTCTTCCTAATGACTTGTACAATTTATCTATTTGGTGTGTAAAAATCTCACTTACCCGGGTTTTCTCTGCATAAATTCAAATGCAAATACTAAGGAAAATACATACTAGAATTCAGAAGTCTTTAACTTAAGCAAACTATGAATTTGTTTATTAAAATAAGAATTCAATACACTTCTACCTCCCATCAGTTTCAGTTGATGAAAACAGCAAATATACTTAAGTTTAGCTTTTAACTGTATAACTATTGAAATTTGAAAAATATATAACCAGTTGCTGCTTTTTAATAATGTAAAATGTAATTTAAAATTCTTTTCCAATCTCTCTTTCTCTCTACCATCTGTTCTACTTAGCACTTTCTACCTCGGGGGAAGTGTGAGCAGCTGATTAGACAAGGCGTTCTGGAGCACGTTCTGTGGTAACCTCATATTGAGGTCACCCTGCCAAGCTTCTCAGTGGTATGAGGCTGAATCCCTCCACACAAACTTCTACACTTCCTTCTCCACCCTGCCTTGTCCCATCCTTTTTGGTTTTAAATGTTATAGACATTCTTTAATGTAACCAGAATACTTGGCTAAGAATGGTCTGTTTTTCTATTGTATAGGATTCTTCCTCTTTTTTGTAATCAGCATCTATAATTATAACATTCCTATAGTTACTACAGTATGTGTGTTTTTTCAGTGAAAGTAAATATTTATTACCATACATATGAATCTTTTAAACAATAAGAGGGTTACACTTGGCTATTGCAGGGAGAAAGAAGGTCCCTGTGCATTTTGTGTTGTTTCTGGTAGTGTGCATTGTGTAAGCCAAGGAGCTGAATTCCTGGAGTGTGTGTTCCCAAATCACATGGGCAAGTGGAGATGATGGTCTATAAAAGTTTTCAGTATATATAATGCTTAATGACAATTGCTGGGCTATTTGTGAAGAAAAAGGAAAGACACAATGAACCAGCCCATTTCTAACAGTGGTGGCTTGCCTGGCTCTTGCCTGTCTGTGAGAGTACCAGTATCACCACTTTGGAAAGGGAAATAGAAATCGGGGCTAGAAAAGAAACTCTATAGTTTCCCCCAGATTCCCATTGACAGAAAAGTCACATGAACAGTTGGTCAACTAAGTGAAGTGCAGTTTTTATTGTTTGAGAACTATGAGTGGTAGGAGTTGGAGAGGCACAGAGTGAATCTTCACTGCTTGGTGATCAGTAGCCTTTCCCTACTCTTAGTCCCCTCCCTTACCAGCCTAGGAATCTGAAGGAGACATTAAAATATAAAAGATTAGATAAGCCTGGTACCTCGTACATACTATACACACAGCTTTGTTTTTATATAGGGGAATGTTTCTGGCCAAAATCAAGTTATAGAGAGGCTTTACCTAGGACGTGGATCTGTATGTTTTAGGGTGCCCTGTGCAGATTATTTTCATAATTTAAAATGATTTCTCCCCTTAATTTTGGTAGCCAGCTCATATTTTCATTTATATCTCTGCTGATAAACAGTGAATGAGATTGATGATGTTTATATGTTAATTGTGGGTTTGCAGTCACTTTCCTCCTTTATATTTACACCCAGAGCACATGGAATCATGCACACTGGTGAGCCCTAAAATCCATGTAAGTCAGCTGTGAGGATAAAGAGCTATGAAGACCATTACCATGTTGCCAGCCCTCCATTACATCGGAACTTAAATGATACAATGTTCTTTTGTGTTTAAGTCCCCAAATAAAATGATAAGATATATCCCATATGTGAAATGAATATATAATATTTGAAAATTTGAAATTTTATTGACTGTACTTAGGATTTTGGCTAGAACTTTAAAGGTAATACTTGTATATGTATAGGTTTAAAAGTTAAAAAATAAATAATGTAGAAAATGAAAGTTCTCCTTTTGTCTCCTAAATATCACAATCCCATGTGATCACTGTTAGATAGTTACACATGTAAAGTACACCATTTCTTTTTAGTGGTTTCCCAGTTATTTTCTACTTTTTGTTCCTAGTGTGAATGAATTCTTTTTTCTATTATTTAACTGGCTTTGGCTGATATATGTACAAAAGTTGTAAATTATGATGGCTTGGCTACATTTTGATATTTATATAAACTCATTTCTTTTTCATATTGATTTTGTTGTCTAGAACTTTTTTTTTATTGGTTTGGAACTTTTGGGAAAATGTTGACTGCTGCTGATAATATGTGGCGCTTATCTTTTTTATGGCCTTATTGGAAGCCACAGTGTCTTTTCTCATTCTCCTTTCTCATACTTCTCCAGGAAAAATACCAAAGCTTATGGCCTCTGTCACTGTAACTTGAAGCCTCAAAATAAATTCAATACCATAATTTAAAATAAAATTGTGGTAATTAATAAATATGGTTTTTTGAAGTATGCCTTTGGAACTTGAGTTATGATCATACTGTTTCTTACTTAACTCCCTAATGTTATGAATTATATGAATAGAATGCTATTGTTAACCTCTAGTGGTACCTCAGTGCTCATCGTTAATTTGTTCTAGAACTCATGACACATGCTGCAAATGACAACTACCGAATGATGAAGCATTTTCTCTTGCAGGGCGGTGTTGTGATGCATACAAGTTCTAGCAACCATGACAAGTCCTAAGCAAACAATGAGTGTTGAAACACTTTTTCTTCTTATCAAAATGTGATGAGAACAGGGTTTGACAAGTTCTGAAGCCAACAAATACCTAAGTACGACGCAAGCACCTACTTGCATTTCTGCCCTGACTTAGTGGCTCAGTTGGTTGGAACATTGGTTCATACACCAAAATGTTGGAGGTTGATTCTGTATGTCAACCTAAGTGACATACCTAGGTTGCGGGTTCAAGCCCTTGTCAGGGTGCATATAGGAGGCAACCTGTCAGTGTTTCTCTCATATCAAAAATCAATAATCTCTTACATCTCTCAAATCAATAAACATATCCCTGGGTGTGTATAAAATTAAAAAAGAAAACTATTTGTATTCCCTGAGCTACACTCTTCCTGGCCATTTAGTGAACTGTAATGTATGATTTTCTGTTATTTTGTAGATGAATTTTTCACCTGTCAGTGATGTTGGTTTCTAATGTTTTGGGAGAGGGGAATGTACACACATGCTTTGTCAGTGTTGTCAATGATCTGTTCTATGAAACAAACCACCCAAAACAGTGGCTTTAAACCATACCATTTTATCAGCTCTCACAATTCTGTGGTTGACCGGGCTCCATTGGGTGGTTCTATAGATCTTCCTTGAGGTCTCTGGTGTGGTCATATTCAGATGGTGGCTGGTTGGCTTGCTCTCCTGACTTTTTTGTGGTCTCTCCATGTGGCTTACTCCAGAAAGCTAGCTGGACTTCTGACCAGGCAGCTCAGGATTCCCACAGTGCCAAGAGGATGGAAGTCAGCATTGTTAGTTTTCTGAAAGGCAAGGCCTGATACTAGACTAGCACCACTTCTCCTGCACCCCATCAGTGGTTATAGTAATAGGCTGCCCAGATCAGTGAAGGGACTACCTGAATCACATGAAGGTGAGAACACTGAATAGCCACCACTGCCAGCTTTGGTGTCAGTGCCTGGTATGTAAAACTAAGTTGGTGTTCATTCCTTTGCCTGTTTTAAATAGAAATGTAATGGCTTTAATACTGACAGTACCATCTGGGTGTGAATCTTTTGTGGGGAGAAATGTTGATCTTTCATGTATTTTTTTTCCCAAAATTTTTTATAGTTCATTTTTTATTGTGTTTATTCCATTACCATTTGTCTCCCCATCTCCACCAATCCCTTCCCCCCACCATAATCACCACATTGTTGAGTAAAAATACATGTCCATGAGTTTTTTTTCTTTTTTTCTAGATCCCTGTCCCAACCCCTTCCTAGGTTAAACTAACCCTGCATTCCTGATAATAACTAGGGTTTGATTTGCTAAAATATTGTTTATCATTTTTTATCTAGATATTGGTCTGTAGTGTTTTTTGCTTGTCATGTTTATGACATTCATAATGTCGTCATAGAATGGGTTGGGAGATACTTCCCTCTCTTCAATTTTTTTAGAAGAGTTTTGTACACTTGATATTATGTCTTCCTTAAATGTTTAGCAGAACTCACATTTAAAACACCTGGGCCTGGAGTTTCTTTGTAGGAAGGTTAATCACAGTTTCAATTACTCTCAAAGATATAGGTCTATTCAGTTTATTCTTCTATAATGATCTTTGATAATTTCCATCTCCTCCATTATAAGTTATTGAATTTATTGGCATAGTATTGTGTATATTGCCTTATTAGGCTTTGTGTATATTCTGTAGTGATGTCACCTATTTTATTCCTGATGTTGGTAATTTCTTTTTATCATGATCATCTTGACTATAGGTTTACCAATTTTATTAATCTTCTCAAAGAACCAGCCTTTGCCTCCATTAGCTTTTTCTTTTTCTGGTTTTCTACTGCAGGGATCAATAGACTTTTTCTATATCTTAGACTTTGTAGGCCAGAGTCTTTCATGGCTGCCACTGTAGCACAAAGGCAGGCTACAGAATTGGGCTTAACCTGTTAAAAATGTAGTTTGTGGAGTTTCGGCCAAGATGGAGGTATAGGTAGAAACCCTTCCCTTCCTCACACAACCAAAAGGAGGATAACAACTAATCTAAAAACAATAAACAACCAGAAGTTCCAGAAAATCAAACTGCGTGGAACTCCAACAACCAAGGAATTAAAGAAACAGTGAACCAGGCCAACTAGACCAGTAGGAGTGAGAAAGGCAGACGGAGAGGACCCGAGGCAAGGTGGTGGACCACGTGGGCAGGACTGGCTGAAAGGACCCTGTGGCAAGGTAGTGGACCAGACCTCAAGGCAGAGGCTAGATGAGAGAACCCAGGGCACAGAGGCGGACTGTGTGGGCAGGGATGGCTGAAAACACCTGGTGAGGTAGCAGGCCATGTGGGTGGGGCTAGCCAAACTGGGAAACTGAGACTCAGAGCTGACTGGACTACAGTGGGGGTTGCCATGGTGGGAAAAACTCCCAGTCTCACATGAGAGTTTGTTGGAAAGTTGAGCTAGAGCCCAGCAAGCAAGCTGCATTTTTCCCTCTTTAGCCCCTCCCCCACAGACAGCAAAGAGGGTTGCCCTGCCCTGGTGAATACCTAAGACCCGCTCCCTTACAACTTAGCAGGTGTGCTGAGACAAAGAAATATGTCCCAAATGAAAGAACAGATCAGAACTCCAAAAAAAGAGTTAAGCCATGAGGAGCTAGCCAGTCTATCAGATGGAGAGTTCAAAACTCTAATAATCAAGATGCTTGCAGAACTGATTCAGCTTGGTCGAAAATGACGGAACAAATGAAAGCTACCCAAAGTGAAATTAAAGCAAAATATTCAGGAAACCAACAGTAACAGGAAGGAAACTTAATGATTTGGAACAAAAGGAAAAAACATCCAACTGAAACAGCATGAAGAAACTAGAATTCAAAAAAATGAGGAGAGGCTTAGAAACCTCTGGGACAACTTTAAATGTTCAAAATCTGAATTATAGAGGTGCCAGAAGAAGAACAAGAAATGGAAAACTTATTTGAACAAATGAAGGAAAACTTCCCCAATCTGGTAAAAGAAATAAATAGACTTCCAGGAAGCCCAGACAGTCCCAAAGAAATTGGACCCAAAGAGGAACACACCAAGGCACATCATCATTAAATTACCCAAGATTAAAGATAAAGAGAGAATCTTAATAGCAGCAATAGGCAAGGAGACAGTTACCTACAAAGGAGTTCCCATTAGACTATCAGCTGACTTCTCAAAAGAAAACTTAAGGCAAGAACGTGCTGGAAAGAAGTATTCCAAGTCATGAAAGGCAAGGACCTACATCCAAGAAGACTCTCTCCAGCAAAGCTATCATTTAGAATAGATGAGCAGATGAAGTGCTTCCCAGATAAGGTAAAGCTAAAGCAGTTCATCATCACCAAGCCTTTATTATACGAAATGCTAGAGGGACTTACCTAAGAAATTGAAGAGCAAAAGCTATGAACAGTAAAATGTCAAAAACAACTATCAACAACTGAAGCTAAAAATAACAACAACATGAAAACAAACACTAAGCAAACAACTAAAACAGGGACAGAATCAGAGAAATGGACACCACATGCAGGGTTTTCAGCGGGGAAGAGGAAAGGAAGAATAGAGGGGGGAAGGTACAGGCAATAAGAAGCATAATTGGTAAGCATAAAATAGATAGGGAGAAGTTAAGAATGAGATAGGAACCAAGTCAAAGAACTCGTGTACAACCTATGAACATGAACTAAGGGAGGGGAATGCTGGATGGTTGTGGGGTACAGGGCTGAGAGGGATAGAGGAAGAAAATTGGTAAAACTAATAGCATAACAATAAAATATACTTAAAAATACATACATAAACACACACATACAGAAAATGTGGTTTGCCAACTTCTGTTCCTTGACTTCTGCTATGATCATCATTTACTTTATTCTGATTACTTTAGTTTTAACTTGCTGTTCTTTTTCCAGTTATTTAAGGTGGAAGCTGGGGTCATTGATTTTGAGAACTTGCTTCTTTTCTATTACTAATATTTAGTGCTATGAATTTTTCCTTAAGTAATGCAGTAGCTCCATTTATACATTTTCATTTTCATTCAGTTTAAAATATTTTCTAATTTCCCCCTCTGATTTCTTCTTTGTTTTGTGGGTTATTTAGCAGTGTGTTATTCTTTTCCTAAATATTTGGGGATTTTCCAAATATTCTGGTCTTGATGTCTAATTCCACTGTGGTCAGAGAACATACTTTATATATGACTCAAGTCCTTTTACTTTCTTGAGAATTGTTTCAAGGTCCAGAATATGGTCTAGTCTGGTGAATGTTCCAATTTCTGCTGTTGTTGGCTGTTTGGTTCTATAAGCATCAGTTGGTTGATAGTGTTGTTCAGGTCTATTAGATTCAATCTCCTTGTTACTCCAGTCCCAGCCAGAAGCCCAAAGTGAATGAAGATGTGTATCCTTTGACGAGTTTTGACAAATGTATATACTCATGTAACCCAAACTATAGTGAGACTTGCTATTTAATAACTAGCATTAGTAATCCCCATTCATTGCTCTTTTTTTCATATCATTTAATTTGCTTATCTAGTTGAACATATAAACTTTAGAAGTGCCCATTTTTGGGACAAGTGGTTGATTGAGGTAGTTTATATTTTTATTGGGAATATAATCAGTTAATGTTGTTGAATCTTTCTAAGAACTAAGCTTTATACCTCTTTCTTATAAAACTACTTTTATATATTTGAAATATTTTATAATTAAGTTCAAAATGAAGTTAAATCAATTTTAATAAAAAATTTATTGTAATAGTGACTTCATATTACAGTAAACCAAATCATCAAAATTTGTATATTTTTGATATAAAAGTACTTTTTAAAAAGTCCTCACCCAAGGATGTGTGTTTGTTTTTTTTAATTGATTTTAGAGAGGAATGGAGAGACAGAAATGTTGATGTGAGAGAGAAACATTGATCATTTGCCTTCCATATGTGCATTGCAGCACAGCCTAGGTTGCTACTCTGACCAGGGGATTGAATCCACAGACAGCCCTTTGGTATATAGGATGATGCTCCAACCAACTGAGCCACCCAGCCAGAGCACAGAGCTACACTTTTTTTAAACATATAATACAATTTCCAGTGTGATAACATTTCAGTGAGGAAAAGACTGCATTTGCAGTAAATATTCCCAAGTCACAGACCTAACATAAACACTGTCCAAAGATCATCCCATGCTGCAGCAGTCCCTGAAAAAGGGGGCTTCCCTTCTTTTGTCTTTTACCACTGTGTGACAGTCACAGGGAGTGAGCGTTTCTGGAAAGTCTGTATAGAACCATCATTGAGAATACTAATGATTTAAACCCAAAGCAGTAACAGTAGAATGGTAAAACTGTACAGAGCCCTAATTTTTCATTTTAATCTTTCAGCCAAAGTCAAAGCACAATATGAAATTGTTTTACTGTGTTTTCTTTTTAGCTCTTTGTTGAGAGGCCCCATAACCTGATTTCACTAGTGACCAGGAAATTACCCAGGATTGCTAATAAAAATGTAGTCTTTTCCAATGTGTCTATTTCCCCAGTATCTGGCTCATATGTCCAGGAGTGTGTGACCAATGAGCCATAGAAAATTATGGCATCATAGTGGCTTAATTTTAAAAGATGCTCCTTCAAAATGAATTCCAGGAAAACAATCAGTCTATACAGAGAAGGATGCTGAAGTCATCTTACTGATTAGTTTGTTGAGAGCACTAACTTTTTCTTCCAAGATCTGGGTTTTTTTCTCAGCTACTCGTTGCTTTTCTTCAGTGATCTGAAGTGCTTTCATCAGATGAGCATTTTCCAAATAGAGCTCCTTGAGCAGCAAATCAGATTTTGTGTTTTTTTCAAACTAGAGAGGAGAGAAAACCATTCTTTACTGTGAATCTAGTACAGAAATGCTACACAACCAGCTTGTCTCCTTTTATTCTTCCATCTTTATATAAACCCATAATTTTGGAGTTTTTACAGATCTGATGAAAACATTGGATGTCATAACAATTTTTGTTTTCCTGGTATGAGAGAGGAAATTGAAAATTTGATGAACTGTGTAGTAGAGAAAGTTTAAGTCAACTCAAAGAGATTTTACCATGAAATCAAGACATGAAAGACCAAAATCTGTAGGCCTCAAAAAGGATGATGTAAAGCAAGGAAATTGTCAAGAGTGCCAAAAAATGTGTTCATCCAAATTTGCTCTGTAGGCCCATCATGTCACCCAGGACACACTGAGATACCGTATTCAACCTTAAAATTGGTGCAGTCAACACACACAGCCATAGGGACTTCAGCGATGGGGACACAAGACCACTCTAGTCATGAGTCCTTCTTCAAAATACAAAGGCAAGGATGTCCTGACCTTGGGCTTAAGTCAACACTGAAGTCATTCATTCATTGAGCACCTCTCATGTGCTAGACACTGCTCTAGCAACCACTCTGCTCTTATAGAACACATATTCTAGTAGACAGACATCAGAATCAAATATGCAATGTGTCAGGTGGTAAGAAGTGCTGAGAGAAAACCCAGTAGCAGACAGCTGAGGAGGGGTCCCAATTTTGGTTGAGGTAAACAGAGAGGGCTTCTCTGCATGATATTTGAACAGGGGGTTTGAATAAAGCACAGGAATAAGCCATGGGGCTGTCAAGGCATGAATGTTCCAGATGGAGGAATAAATGCAAAGGCCCAGAGGCTGGGGCATGATGTGGGTAACAGAATGGCCAGGAGGCCTGTAACTGGAAGGCATGGTTGTGGGGAGGCCAACTGAGAAGTCAGACCTACCATACTGTCTGGGCCAGGCACTAGATCCTGGAGAATCTTGGAAGCCACTGTATAAACTGCCTTTTATTCAAGGTACCTGGGAAAACTGAAGGGTTCTGAGCAGAGGAAGGCCAGCACCGTAGCCACATTTGGAAAGGACTGTTACCACTCCTGTGTTAACAGGTTAGAAGAAGAAATAAGATGCCAGTTCAGATACCAAAGATGACTGTGGAAGCAGTGGGACTGGGGCAAGAAGTAGCTGGGTTCTGTCTCCACTCTGAAGGCAGAACTGGTGGATGGGAACATGGTATGAGTGGGGGTCAGTTAAGGGAAGGAGCCCACTGTACTCCAAGGTTTTGGAATTAAGTCAATGGTAGGGGAGAGCCATGAGGGCTGGCAGGTAAGTGCAAAGACAACTCTGAAAGTATTTCTGTGAGGAGAAGCAGAGAACTGGTAGGACCAAGACTCCTTAACCCAGGAATCCAGAGGCAAGACAGGTTGGGGGTGAGGCCAGGAGAGGTGGCACAGGTCAGGTCTAGGTGCATATGGCCCTAGTACACTGCATATTTGCTTTGGGCATTTTGGGTCTCCCAAGGACAGTTAAAAGGAGGGGGAAGAGGTGCTGGAATTCAATGGGGAGAGAGCGTTCAGAATGTTATCCAGCTAGGGGATTTGGGCAGAGCTGATGGGTGACAGCCACAAAATTGAACTACAACTAGTCTTACCAGGTAAGAGGAGGCAAATGTTTGCAAAGGAGTGACTATAAAGAAAGTCAAAATCTGATAGTTGGGACAAAAAGTGAGGATGAGGGAGACATTGAGAGGATCAGTAGATGGCAGAGCAGGCCAAGATGGTGGACAAGAAAGGGGGCAGGCTCTGAAGAGTAGCTTAGCCTGGGAAACTTCCACCATGATTCAGGAGCAAGAGGCAACATGAATGTTTCATCCATTTGGGCTCAGTTCAGGATTGCTCAGATAAACCATACTTGATTATTATGTAATAAAAATATTTCTACAGATCCTCACATTTCTTTTAATTTCTTCTAGCACTGCAGTAGAACATTTTTGGAGCAGCTGGTGTTTGTCTTTTTGTGTTTCTTCTTTTTTTTCTGACCTTCTTACCCCTCCCAGCACTCCCTGTGCTGGCTGTTCCACTGCCTGTTAGTTCTTACTGATTTAATTGCTGATTGAATGAGATTATAAACTTTTATTGATCAAGACAGCTGTGACTTTTGTTTTCTTCCTACAGCAGCCCAGGTTATTTCTTTATTTCCCATGGTTATTATTTCTAAAATATAGATCATGTCACACTCTTACTTAAACTCTTCCAATGGCTTCTAATTGCAATTACAATAAAATCCAAACTGCTGACCTTGATGGGACCCTGCCTATCTGTACTTGCCCAACAGATCATACCAGCTACAATAACTCCTCAGTGGCCTTCTGCATACCATGCTTGGTCCCATCTAAGGACATGTACCTGTTCTGTTCCCTCTTTGTGAAATGCATCTCTTCCTTGTTCTCACACGTTCTTTAGCACATGTGGAGAAGTGTGAGTGCCTTTTTACAGCTGTCCCAGAGATTGGAGGTGTTCTTGGAACTTAGCACTATAATGCACAGAACAGTTCTACCATGAGCATTATCCCTTCTAAAATGTCAGCCTGGCCTCTGATCATTAGGTGTCTGTTGCCATGCCATATCCCGACTATTCTCACCAAATCCCACCCATCCCCATTTTCTTCAAAGCAATTCTTATAACTTGAGGTCATTTAGCTTGTTACATCTGTCTCTAGCTCCAGAATGTAAGGTCTTTGGGGGCTTATGTCAGGGTTTACCCAGAGCAATGCCTTGATACATAACAGGTACTTGGGATGACTGAATGAATATCTTTTTTGAGGTTATGTGGACACCTCAAAAATATACCTTATAATATTCCCCATCACTTCTCAGCATTTTGGCTTAAGATCAAATGTAGAATCTGTTCTCATCAGTTTAAAACAATTCCTAAAAGAAAATAAACACAATGTACAAATATAATGTAGGGTATATTTACTAAAATCAGTTTTCTACTGATTGCTTTTAATTTTTAATCTTCTGAAAAATATGTGTACATTCAGATTCTCAAAATGAAGTTTAGACAAAGCCCCAGATTCAGTGGTTCCAAATGAATGTGGGCTTCTTTTGAGTTCTGTTACAAGAGAGTTGCTCCCTGAATCAGCTACTTGAACACCCATAAAAGAAAAAAAAAAAAACAGTTCTGAAAGAGGATATTAGCATACACTGACACAACCCCCTCCTCACTCACCTGCTGTCCCAGCTCAGCCACTTTTTCTTGTAGGAGTATTTCCATGTTCTTTGAAATCATTTCTAATTTTTCTATCCATTCTTCTGTATCTTTAAGCTGTTTTTTATGTTCTTCTTGCTACAAAAGGTTATAAACCAACATTTTACATTTTATATTTTTTAAGATTTTGTTAATTTATTTTTAGAGAGGGAGAGAAACATGAGAGAGAATCATTGATCAGTTGACTCACACACCCCAAACTGAGGACCTGGCCCTCAACCCAGGCATGTGCCCTGACCAGGAATCAAACCTGTGACCTTCAGTTTACAGGCTGGCATTCAATCCACTGAGCCACACCACTCAGGGCCCAATATTTTACATTTTAGAGTGAATCTTTTCAGGTTTACTTACTGTAAAGTAGAAATTAGCTAAAGTGTACAAATTTGAGAGTAACTATAGATAACTGATCTGTATAGAGTAAGTTAAAAAAATGTCACACAAAATGAGTCTCAGTAAATTTAAGAATACTGAAATTCTATCAGGAATCTCCTCTAACCGTAATACTATGAAACTAGACATCACAGGAAGAAAAGTGAAAAACACAGAAAGACATGGAAGCTAAATAATATGTTACTAAACTAAACAGTGGAAGAAATCAAAAGATACATTGAAACATGCAAATGAGAATGCAACAACCCAAAATCTGTGGGACACAGGAAAAAAAATAGTCCTAAGAAGGAAATTCATAACATTCATGGCTATCTCAAGAAACAATAAAAAGCTCAAACAACCTAATTTTATACATAAAGGAAGTTGTAAAAGAACAACAAAGCCCACAGTGAGTGGAAGGAAAGAAAAAGTAAAGACCAGAGAAGAAATAAAAAGTCTAAAAAAGGCAATACAAAAGATCAATGAATCCAAGAGCAGGTTCCCTGAAAAAATAAACGAGACTTTAACTAGGCTCATAAAAAAAAGTAAAAAATGAAAGGTAAAATAACTTACACCACAGAAATACAAGGGATTGTAAGAAAATATTATGAACAACTATATGCCAACAAATTGGACAATTTGGATAGAATGGATTAATTCCTAGAAACATACAATCTTCCAAAACTAAATGTGGAAGAATAAAACTGTGAATAGACAGATTACAATTAGTGAAATTGAAGCAGTCATCAAAAAACAAAGTCTTGGACTGAACGACTTCACAGGTGAATTTTATCAACCTTCAGGGAAGAACTAACCCCTCTCCTCAAACTATTCCAAAAAATTCAACCGGATAGACTCCCAAGCTCATTTTACAAGGACAGTATTCTCCTAAATCCAAAACCTAAATAAAGACATTACAAAAAAGGAAAGGAAAATTATAGGCCAATGTCCCCGGTGAACATAGATACTAAATTACTCAGCAAAGTATTAGCAAACCGGATCCAGCAATACATTAAAAAGATCATATAACATGATATGGTGGGATTTATTCAGGGGATGCAAGGTTGAAACAATATCCACTAATTAATAAATATGATACACCATATAAACAAAATGAAGAATATAAACCACATGCTCATATCAATAGATGCAAAAAAAGCAATTGATAAAATCCAGCACCCATTTATGATAAAATCCCTCAGCAAAGCAAAAATAGAAGGAATATACCTTAATACAATAAAGGGTATATTTGACAGACAAGCAACATAATCCTCAACAGATAAAAACTACAAGCTTTCCCCTTTAGATGGGGAACAAGATGTGGATATACACTTTCACTACCCATTCAAGTCCTAACAAAGCACTCAAACAAGAAGAAATACAAGGCATTCAAGTTGGAAAGGGAGAAGTAAAATTGTCATTGTTTCTAGATCAGATGGCAAGATACTATTTTTAGAGAACCCTGAAGATTTCTCAAAACCCCAAAACTATTAGAACCGATAAATGAATTCAGTAAAGTAGCAGTGTACAAAATTACTATAAGAAATCAGTTGTATTTTATATGCCAGTAATAAACCATTGAAAAGGGAAACTAAGGAAACAATCCCATTCACAATTGCTTCAAAAAGAATAAAATACCTAGGGACAAATCAAACCAGAGATGTAAAGACCTATATTAAGAAAATTATAAGACACTAAAGAAAGAAACTGAAGAGGATACAAGTAAGTGGAAGCACATACTTGTGTTCATAAATAGGACCAATTAATATTATTAAAATGTCCATACTATCCAAAGCCATCTATAGATTCAAAAGAATTTCTATCAAGACACAAATGGCTTATTTCACAGAACTAGAACAGATATTCCAAAAATGTATATGGAATCACAAAAAAAACCCTGAAAAGCACCAATGATCTTGAGAAAGAACAAAGTTGAAGAAATCATGCTACCTGATATCAAACTATACCACAAGTCCATAGTAATCAAAACAGCATGGTAATAGCATAAAAACAGAGATTCAGGTCAATGGAACAGAATAGAGAACCTAGAAATAAGCCCACACCTTTACAGTCAGTTAATATTTGACAAATTATAATGGGCTAAAGACAGTTTATTCAATAAATGGTATTGGGAAAATTGAACAGATACATTAAAAAAAATGAAACTAGACCTCCTACCACCACACACAAACTCAAAATGGATTAAAGACTAAAAGGTCAGACTTGAAACCATAAAAATCCTAGAAGAAAACATAGGCAGTAAAATCTTAGACATTTCTCTTCCCAATATTTTTTCTGATACATCTCCTCAGGTAAGAGAAACAAAAGAAAAAATAAACAAATTGGAGCATGTCAAACTAAAAAGTGTTTGCACAGCAAAGAAAACCATCAAAAAAGGCTACCAAAACAAAATAAAGACACCCCACAGAATGGGAAAACATGTTTGCCAATACAGCTGATAAAACCCAAAATTTATAAAAAACACCAATAAACCAACTTAAAAAATAGTCAAAGGACCTAAACAGACACTTCTTCAAAAGTGCCTGTTTTTGAATAGATGTCTAACAAATAAGAAAGGATACTTCACATCACCAATCATCAGAGAAATGCAAATCAAAACCACAAAGAGATGTCATCTCATACTGGTCAGGATGGCTATCATCAATAAATTAAAAAACAAGTGTTGGCAATGCTGTGGTGAAGAAAGAGCCCTTTTGCACTGCTGGTGGGAATGCAGATTGGTGCAGCCACCGTGGAAAGTAGAATGGAATTACCTCAAAAAATAAAAAATGGGGACTGTCTTAAGAAACCAAAACATTAATTGGAAGGAATATAAGCACCCCCATGATCATTGCAGCATTATTTATAATAGCCAAAATTTGGAGGCATCCCAAGTTTCTATCAATAGATGAGTGTATAAAACAGCTACGGTACATTTACACAATGGATTATTAGCCATAAAAAAGAAGAATGTGTTAACCTTTGCAACAGCATACACAAAACTGGAGAACATTATGCTATGCTAAGTGAAATAAGCCAGTCAGTGAAAGACAAGTACCATATGATTTCGTGCATGTGGAACCAATCAACAAAGAGAACTAAGAAGCAAAATAGCAGGCTACAGCTCTCTACTGGTGGGGTGTTATGGGGATGGAGGGACTGAGGAGAAAAAAGAATTCATGGACAGAGACAACAGTGTAGTGATTGTGGAAGGGTATACTGATGGATGGAGGTGGAAGAGGGTATGTGGGATAAATGGCAATAGAATAAATACAATAAAATAAAAATAAAATTTCAAAACATCTGTTCCTAGCCACTAAACTATTATTTCTTTTTGTAGTTCAAGAATTAGCTAACTGCTTTGTCCTAAAAATTTCATCATAGATGACTCCAGAGTGAGTTTACTTTATACATGTTGTTAAGTATTTCTTTTCTTTTTTCTTTAAGATTTTATTCATTTATCTTTAGAGGGGAAGGGAAGAAGAGAGGGAGAGAAATATCAATGTATGGTGTATGGTTGCCTCTTGTATGTCCCCCGCTGGGAACTGGCCTGCAACCCAGGCGTGTGCCCTAACTGGGAACTGAACCATGATTCTTTGGTTCACAGGCCTGCGCTCAATCCACTGAGCTACACCAGCCAGGGTAAGTATTTCTAAAGAATTTCTGATTAAATTCTTTTGTTTTGTCAATAATCTATCATCACTTATTTCTAGCTTAACATTTTTGCTTAATCCTGATAAGTCATTCTTTGTTAGAATTTATGTTTTAGAAATATTGAATTTTACTCACCTTTCAAGTGTTGCTCTAATTTTTCCCCATGAAGGCACTCACTACCCTCTTGCTCTTGATCTCCACATTCCTTCTGCCCTGAACTTTTCCTCATGAACCGTGTTTCAATATTTCAGGATCAGGTTTTCTTGGGCTTTTAAATTAAACCCTTGCACAGGTTACACATGTTCCACAGACAATTCAAGCACTTTAAAAGTGTTAACTTATTGATGCCTTACAATAATGCTTTAGATGGGTACCACTGGTATCTGAATTATACAGATGAGGAAACAGGAGTACAGAGAGGTTAAGTAACTGGCCTGGAGTAACTCAGCTGGGAGGTAGGGGAGCCAAAATCCCAATCTCCGTAGCCCATGCTCTGAGGCACTGTCCTGCTTCCCTTTAAGGCAGGTACTCTAGTTCTACATCTCCTGATGCATAGTGCAGAGCCTTGCACACAGCACGCTCCCCAAGTCTATGCTCTTACCTTGTTGACCTCTTACCCTCTGCCCTCCTCCTGCCTCCCTCCCATACTTGCTATTCTTAAACATACCAAGTACATACCCACCTCAAGGCCATTGCACATGCTGCTCCTGCAGCCTATAAGCCCTCTTCCTCCAGGTTACTGGATGGCTTCCTGCCTCAACAACTTCCAAGTGTTGGCTTAAGAGCCACTTTCTCTGGCTATCCTGTTTAAAATTAGAAAGCCTCCCACTCCACAGCACTGATCATCATCTGACATGCTATTCACATTATGCATTTTTTTTTGTCTCCCACCACTAGAATATAAGATCCAGAAGGGCACAGATTTTGCTTTTGTGTCATTTCTTTGTCTCTGATACCTAGATCAGTGTGTATCCAGTAAGTAACTTTTTATATTGTTGTTCAAGTACAGTTGTCTCCATTTCCCCTCACCCCCCCACCCCAGCCATCCCCACTTC